TATAGAAAAGAAAAATATTGGAAGAAAAAATATAGAAAACCATGGAAAAAACAGAAATTCATTAGAAAAAGTAGAACTTTTAATATAATAAATTACAAGCGACTACCCAATGAAGAAAGAGATAAAAGAAAACAAAGATATGTTAGAAAACTCAACAGTAAAAAATGTAATTGTTTTATATGTGAAGAACCCAATCATTTTGCAAAAGCCTGCTCAAAAAGACAAAGGCCTAATACCAATAAACAAATAGAAAGACTACATATTATAGAAAACTTAGAAGAAGATATAGTTAGCATAAATAGCGATGATTCAGAAGTGTATGACATAATCAGTGATTATGAATATCAAATAGAAGCCATAAGTTCAGATAGTGATTCAGAAAGTGATACAGATATAGATAATCTTCTAGGACAACTCAACCAAGAAATAGGAACGACTCCTTCTCATGATACTTTCTTTATGATGGAATGTAACGCAGATACTGAATGTCAGCATAATTTTCAAATATAAGTAGGATTTGATACCACTAGATGCAGCTATTGTAATTGGTTTCCAGTTAAAGATAAGAGAGTTCAGTGTTTATTATGCAGTATAACCTATTGTATAGTCTATCTTGAAAAATTAAACATGACCCATAAGATAACATTAGGAAATAACAGGGAAGATCAAAATATAGAAAGCAGAGAATTACATCTAACAATTAGAGAATTAGAAGTAAAAGTAAGGGAACTTAAACTTCAAATACGTGAGATAGAAACTAAGACTAGTTTTGAAATAGAATGTTTAGAACTAGAAAATAGACAGCTTAAACAGTAGCTATAACAATTTCACAATAAATACCCTTTAAAAGATAAACTGATTGAAGAACATATGAATTCTTTAGAATTAGTCAACCCAGTTGATTCTCAACCCCTTAGTCAATACTCTCAAGCACAACCAGATAATGCATATTTGCCATTTGATTACGCTGTTATACCCAAGCCAAATTTAGTTGAGATCTCTTGTGTAATTAAATTTGTAAAAAAACCCTTAGTATAGATGCCATGATAGATACAGGAGCCAGTAAATCATACATTGAACAACACATAGTTCCATCCGGATGGAGCACAGCTTTGACAACCCCAACTTTAGTCAGTATAGCCGATGGCATTAAACAGACATATACACATTGCATCAATGGCGCATAGATTAATTTTCATCATCTAGGTTCTCAAACTCAACACATAGAATGGTTCCCATTACCTCAAGTCTGGATTGGAAATACTAGACAAAATCATCATTTCATCTTAGGACTTAACTTTAGTTTATAAGGTGGCATGTTTATTAGTCAAAACAACATCAGTTTCTTTAAACGCACAGTACATACACCCACAGCATATGCCCTTAGCACCATAGCACATTCATTAGAGTTGCGTGCAAAGCGTGGTGGTACCATAGGAGTAGATTCGATTCCTGCTAGTTTTTTATTTCCAAGTAGACACATTTTTCCCGAGCTAGCCCAAAAATATATACCTAATGAAATAGCAAATACTTCTTTAGAAAATTTAGACATAGAAAATTATGAATTAGAGGAATTAGAAGAATTTGATTGTAAAGAAAATAGTGACTATTGGAACCTAGAAGATTTTCAACAAACAGTTAACCTAGAATTAATTTTTGCCAAAATAGGAAAATTAAAGAAAAACCCAATATACAGAAGAACAGAAAATGATTTAGATGAAATAATAAGATTAGCTGAAACAACATAGATTTTAGGAGAACAGTCCATGAAATATTGGGAAAGAAATAAAGTTTTATCTAGTTTAGATATAAAAAATAGAGATTATAGGATTACATCAGCACAAATAGATCATACGCCATCAGATATAGAAGAATTTAGAACACAGATTACGGAGTTACTAGATTTAGGAGTAATTAGACCTAGTAATAGTTCACATAAGAGCGCCGTATTTATGGTAAGAAATCATGTAGAAATAAAAAGAAGAAAAGCTAGAATGGTGATAAATTATAAAAGATTAAATGACAATACAAAAGACGATAAATATAATATACTAGATAAAGATCAACTCATAAATAGAATTTAGACAGCAAAAATATTTAGCAAATTTAATTGCAAGTCAGGATTTTGGCAAATAAAAATGGAAAAGGAAAGCATACCATGGATAGCCTTTTGTTGCCCACAAGGACATTATGAGTGGCTAGTCATGCCTTTTGGACTAAAAAATGCACATTTTATATTTCAGCGTAAGATGGATAGCATATTTAATAAATATAGTTTTATACTGGTATATATAGACGATAAATTAGTATTTAGCCCAGATAAAAATAGTCACATAGATCATTTATATATAACATTAGAAGAATTCATAAATAATGGAATAGTAATTAGCAAGAAAAAAATTATATTAAATAAACCTCATATAGAATTTTTAGGAATGGAGTTCGGAGATGGAAAAATTAGGTTACAACCTCACATAGTGAAGAAAATTTTAGATTATCCAGATAAATTAGAAGATACAAAACAACTTCAATCATTTTTAAGAATTTTAAATTATGCACGAATGTATATTTCTAACCTTAGTAAAATAATAGGACCCCTATTTAGTAAGACCACACCCACAGGATAAAAATATTTCAATCAACAAGATATAACTTTAGTTAGAAAAATTAAAGACATTTGTAAAAATTTACCAGACCTACAACATGCCTTGGAATCAAAATATATAGTCGTAGAAACAGACGCAAGTCAATTAGGATGGGGAACAATATTATTAGCTAAACCTAATAAGTATGATAGTAAAAATAAAGAACGCATTTGTAGATATAGTTCTGGAAAATTTAAAGAAAAAGACACGATCATGACCATTCTAGATTTTGAAATATTAGGAGTAGTATACGCAATAAATAAATTTAGATTATTTTTGCACAAACCTTTTACAATTAGGACAGACTGTGAAGCTATAGTTAGATTTCATAACAAATTTAACGAGTGCAAATTAAGTACTAGAAGATGGGCAAAATTTTTAGACCGTATAGTAGGACAAGGATATAAAGTAGAATTTGAACATATTAAGGGGAGTGATAATAGATTAACAGATTGGTTAAGTAAGAAAATTTATTTAGAAAAAGAAAATAATCAGTTTAATTTTTGTGCAGACAATAGAGAACAACCAAACCATGAACTTTGGGGGATTCGCTCTTCCCATTCATGAAGGCAGAAACAAGTTCAGACCATTAACATGAATTGAGTTAGACCCAGTTCAACAGTGTCTTCTAGATAACCTTTGGAACAGTCATAACCACCCTGCTAAACGCCTGTCAGCCTTAAACTCTCTTAGTATATATTTTTCAAAAATCCAAAATAAACCTTTGTCTAAAAGTTTTTATTTTTATGTAATAGTTAAAGGAACCAAGCCTGGTATTTGCCATGACTGGATAAAAGTTGAACCCTTAGTTAAAAATTTTCCCACACCTCAGTATAAAGGATTTTATGATTTCGAGTCAGCCAGTACCTATGCCCGAAGACAAATAGGAACCAGTTACTTTATCAGCCAGATAGCTAAAGATTACCTGGACACATTGGGAAAGATGCAGTCAACCATTCTTGCCACCAGTGGAGTTTCAGTTAGCCAGATAATTGGAAGCAGTAGTACTGGAAGCACTAGTTCTAACCCTCAGATAGATTCTCAAAATCCTCTCCAAATGTGCAGACATTGTGAAGTCCTTACCAGAAATTTCAAGAAAATTATGGATAAAGGCAAAAAGGTCAGTGAAGAGCTAGACCGCTCCGAGACGAAGAAAAAATAATTGAGAAGCAACCATTCGAACCCTAACCAACCAGCTTAAAAAATTAGCTCTAGGAAAAACAACTGCCTCATTTCTTAACCAAAAAATCAGACAGCTCACCAGTGAGGAATTTGAACAATTGAGTGCTAGAATGTATTTCTTCAGGCATTCTATCATTCGATCTTTTTGTGAGAAAAATCAAGTAATAGAAGACCTCAAACCCCATATATGCACCTTAGTCGAAGAAAGCAGAAATAGTGAATTAGTCACCATACAACAGTTTCTTCAGGACCTCTCCATAGTAGGAGCTCACTGCCCTGGCATAGCTCATCAATGGACTTATCTCTACGAAGATGAAGAGCAACCCTGTTTAGAAGAAGAAAAATGTAATAAGAGGTTAGAACATTTTGGTCGATGCCAGTGTAATTTAGATTTCAGCATCTGCCTTTGCTAGATAAATCTAGCAACATTCGAGCCATTGGAGATAGAGCTTAGGGGCAAAACACGTTATCTAACAGCCTCACAATTGTTAGATTACGGCTTTATCTCTAGAATAATTTTCTTAGATCCTGATCAGACAGATAGCTTTGGGAATAAACTTGTTCATTCAGTACTTTGTGTAATGGAAGAGCATCATCCATATGCAGAAGCATTAATTAATAGCAGATTACCAGAATGGAAAGGAATATGGTGCAATCCAGCTAAACATAAAATGTACCTCAGAGGAACCTCGACATTTCCAGGATATCCAGGACTTCTCAATCGAAGACCTTGGCCATGTAGAAAATTTTCACTCAGAGATCAGCTCAATAAATGGAGGAAATTTGCTAATACTCCTGTATTAGCTTATAATGGAAATTATGGACGTCTAGCTTGCGAAGATAGAAATTAGAAGATATATTGTAACTTAGCTATCTAAGGATATCCCTTCAGCAAAGAAACATTCGTTGATGAAAGTCAATACCCCAACTATCAGCATAGCGTCTCTCATGAGTCACCAGTAATGGGAGAAGATGACCAAAATAATTAGTGGGAAGATGAACTAGCTATGAGAGATGATTTTTACGACCAACTCTCACTAGTTGACCTAAATAATCTCTCAGATAGAATGTATGGATAAAAAAAAAAAAAAATCTCAAAAAAAAAAATCATCTCCCATTATTTTATTTTTTTTCTCTATGTCCTTCACTTAATTTTATCCTTTGTTCTCAGGTTCAAAAAAGCAGGAGTGATAGCAGCTTCCCAAAAAAATTGGGCAGTGAATTGCTGGGCAGTTGGGACAGGCCGCCACAAATCTACCCTGACACGGTCTAGGTAACACCAACTAAATGAGAGAGATGTAATTTAACATCGGCACCCGAAACACTGTTCCTCCAAAACCTCTCTCCCTCTTCTTTGCATCATCAGAAGAATCAACGCTATACACCAATTCTGCTTCTTCGTTTTCCATCTTTCTCTGCAAATCGATTCTCCAAATTGACTCAACTCTCCAACCATGGACAACAACCTCGGAGCGCGAACCGACGATCCATTCCTAGTCAAGTACAACGCCACCGATCTCCGAATCGCTTCCGAGTTCCTCTCCAACTGGCTTCCTTTTCTCTCCACAGATCTCTGCCTCCAGTGCACTCAAACTCTCTCCGATCGCATTCGATCCCTCGCCCCAGGTTCTCTAAAACCCTTATATATATATATATGTATATGCATGTGTATGCACAGTGAATTGTATGTTAATTCATGTCAGGGTTCTCTCTCTCTCTCTCTCTCTCTCGATTATCTGGTTGTGTTCAATTCCATATTTTGTGCTTTATTTGTTGAATTTAGTTTGTTTTTCTCCCAATTTTTTTTATGGGCTCTACTACACATCATTATCACTTTCTACAATTAACCCAACAAAAGACACCATTCGATCCCTCGAGCCCAGGTTTCCAAAACCCTTCGAATTTTTCTATACATATATGCATGTATTTGCACTTAATTTTATGTTAATTAATGTCAGGGTTGTCTAAAGTTCAGTTTTTTTTTTGTTTTTTTTTATTTTAATTCTCACTTGATTATCTGGTTGCGTTCAATTCGAGATTTTCCAGTGTGCATGTTTCGTTCATGCTTTATTTTGTGAATTTGGTTTTATGGGTTTCACATCACTCCATCATTTTCTACAATTAATCCAACAGAAGACACCATTCGATCCCTCAACAACTCAGGTTTCCAAAACCCTTGAATTTTTGTAGACATATATCATATGCATGTATATGCACTTAATTGATGTCAGGGTTCTCTCAAGTTCTGTTTTTTTCCCTCTCTTGATTCTATGTCTCTGCTCAATTCGAGATTTTCCAGTGTGTATGTTTCGTTCATGCTTTATTTGGTGATTTTATTTTTATTTTTCCAGTTGTTTATATTATTGGTATCTTTTGTTGGGTTAATTGTAGAAATTGATGGAGATGTGGAACCCATAAAACAAGAAGAGAATTCAGCAGTTTTGACTTCGAAAGATATGGATTTAAATGAAATTGATGAGAACCATGACAATTGCAACACAAATTCTCTTGGTAGTTGGAAGGATGCTGCAGATTTGAATGATACTGCAGATACGAACTCCCTGGGGAGTTGGAAAGATGAAGCAAGTGGTTGGTCAGACCCTGCTGCAGAGGCGTCGAGCAGCGAAACAGTTGGCTCGGCAGTGGTGACCAGTGGGAGCCCAAGGGTGCGAATGTCTTGGGCTGATATGGCTCAGGAAGATGAACTTGAGGAGGAGGAGGAAGAGAACGAAGTAAATGGTCAGCCAGTTAATAGGTATGCTCAGTTAGGAGAGGCAACAGTGGCTGTGAAGGAGGCAAAGCCGTGGAAGGCCGACAATCGATTCTTTCTCAACTTATTTTCTATCGGATGTGAAGAGGAAGAAGGATTTTATTTGCTTGGAGAGATTTAAGGGAAAGATTGTTAACATTCTGGAGGGATTGGAGCTTCACACTGGTGTTTTCAGTGCTGCAGAGCAGAAGAGGATCGTTGATTTTGTGTACTCATTGCAGGAGAGGGGAAAGAAAGGTGAATTGAAAGGTCAGTCAATTCAACCCACTGCTAGTCCATCAAATTCTGATGTAATGCTGGTCAAATGCTTTTAGTTTCGTCTATTTTTGTTTTTTGTATTTTTTCCCCCTATGCCAATCAGTTGTTGGTCCAGACTTTGGATTGTGGGTGGCTTGCTCAATTAAGAATAGACAAGGTTCTTTGTGATGTACAATGTCTGTTTGTTGTACTTCAAAGGTTATCGTAAAATAAACTTTACGATCAAAGTTAATTATTTTTGTCATAGTTTGGGGGATTAATATATAACTATTATTCAAAATGTCAAGGAAGAGGCCGGCCTTGATGCAGTGGTAAGGTTGTTGATGCAAATCTGTTCAACAATTTGATTGATCACAAAACTAGAATAAATGGACAATTGAATGAAAAAAGAAGATAAAAAATATGGAGAAGAAAAAGAATAGAGAAGGAAAGGAGAACAAGGGTTACAAACCCTAACACACAAAAATGGCCACAACCCTAACTCAATATCAATAATTAAAAGTTAACCTAGGACTACTACATAAAGCCATATATATAGACAACATAGGGAACCTAATTAAAAGTAGGAAATTAAATCGTAACATTATTTGGAAATAAAATAAGTAAACTAAATATACTAAGATCTTAATTAAACTATCAATAATAAATAAATAAACATAAATATAAAATTACAAATAATAAAATCTCCATATCACATTATGCATCATGCTCACTGACTGAAAAAAATAACTCGTCCTCGAGTTTTCCTTTTAAGTATTGAACTTGTCCATGCCATAGAATCAAATATTTCTAGTAGGTTGGCTCTTTGATTTCTTCCTGCAATTGAAGCTCTTCTTTAGTCCAATTTTTCTTGGTCTTCAAGTTGATGAGGTCCACCAAACACAGACTGAATGCGGAAAAAAAAAATAAAAAAATTCAATGCCAATAAAATCAATATTGTCTAACCTGATCAAAAAATTAGTTGGTGATGGGTCACTAGGAAGCTCCTCCTTTGGTGAAATCATATTCTGCATGATATTTTCTTGCCTTTTAGTTTCGGCTTCTTGGACTTCTGAAAGTTCTTCCAAAATAATATTAGGTTTCTCGTACTTGGGAATTGCTAGATCAATAACTTCCATGTGATCTTCACAATCCCCTTGAAGAATTTATGAAGTTTCTCCAAAAAAATAGACTAACAATTTGTTCAAAGTTGCTTTCAGCTGAGTCATTTGTTTCTGCATCTCTTGCACATCTTTCTTCATCTCTTGGTGTTCTTGACATAGGGCCTCAAATTTGGATTTTAACTCGGGGGTGAACATGGTTAATGCAAATATATAGAAATATATATTTTAAATAATGATTTTGGTTCAAATCGATGAAGCTGTATGAAGAAGGCAACCACACTAAGTGAACAGAGAAAGGCGGATCAAAGTTGGGCTCTAATACCAATTGATGTAGAAGAAGTCTGCTCAACAATTTAATTGATCACAAAACCAGAATAAATGGGGAATTGATCCAAAAGAGAAGATAAAAAATATGTAGAGTAATAATAATAGAGAAAGAAGGAGAACAAGGGTCACAACCCTAACACACAAAAATGGCCACAACCTTAACTCAATATCAATAATTCAAAGCTAACCTAAAACTATTACCTAAAGCCTTATATAGAAGCAACATAGGAAACCCTAATTAAAAATGGGAAATTAACTTGGAAACCTAATCCCTAATAAAATAAGGAAAGTTAATATACTAAGATCTTATTAAACTAACCAAACCAAGTCTTAAGTCCCATCAAATGAGGTCGACTATATGAATCATTTTTCTCCACGCGGCCTTATCAAAAGTCACGTCGTTAGTCAAATTAAGTAGATTCATATATCTATTTATAATGTTAACCAACGTTAATTTAGGCCTACCCCGTCCCCTAACACTTCCATCTACTGTTACAGTATCGCATCTCTTCATTACTGTCTGTGTTGGTCTACGTTGAATATGACCAAACTATCTCAATCGATTCTTTCTCAACTTATTTTCTATCGGTGCTACTCCTACCTATTCCCGAATACGCTCATTCCTAATTCTGTCTTGTCTAGTCTTGCCACACATTTACCTTAGCATTCTTATCTCAGCCACGCTCATCTTATCTACATGTTGTTTCTTGGTTGCCTAACACTCCGTCTCATACAACATCGTTGGTCTAATAGCCGTTCTATAGAATTTACTTTTAAGTCTAGTAGGTATTCGTTTATCGCATAGTACCCCAGAAGCACTTCTCCACTTACACCATCCCGTCTTAATCCTATGGGCCACATTCGTATCAATCTCCCCAGCTGTTGTAATAATCGACCCTAAATAACGGCAATATTCACTCTTAGGCAGTTCTTAGTTCTCAATCTTCACTTCTCCTTTGCTTTCATTGTTACTGTTACTAAATTTACGCTCCATGTACTCTGTCTTAGTTCTGTTTATCCGAAATCCTTTAGATTCAAGGGCTTTTCTCCAAATCTCCAACTTTGTATTAATTCCTTCTCCAGTCTCATCCACTAGCACTATATCGTCTGCAAAAAGCATACACCATGGCACGTCATCTTGGATAGTTCTCGTCAACTCATCCATAACTAAAGTAAAAAGATAAGGACTTAAGGTAGATCTTTGGTGTAGCCCTACAGTGATAGGAAATTCATTTGTTTCTCCAGCAAGCGATCTAATAGTGGTCACCACCCTTTCATACATGTCCCTAATCATATCAATGTAACATTTTGTTACCCCTTTCTTCGCTAACACCCACCATATTATATCCCGGGATACTCTATCATATTCTCAAGGTCGATAAATACTATATGAATGTCTTTTTTTTTTTCTCTATACTTTTCAATTACTCTCCTCAATTGCTTCCATTGTTAACCTGTTAGACATAAACCCAAATTGATTCTCTGACACTTTTGTCATATCTTGCAATCGGCGTTCTATCACCTTCTCCCACACTTTCATTATATGACACATTAGCTTGATTCCTCTATAGTTGTTGTAATTCTGGACATCTCCTTTATTCTTATAAATTGGTACTAAAATACTCTTTCTCCACTCATCTGGCATGTTCGTAGTCAACAAAATTTTGCTAAACAACCTAGTCAACCATGTAACCCCCTTTTTATCCAAACACTTCCAAGCTTCAATAGGGATATCATCTGGTCCTAAAGCCTTATTTGATTTTATTTTCTTAAGTGCAATCTCCACTTCAAAATTCCTAATCTTGTGATAGAACCTATAGTCTTGGTTTATCGTATTACTGGTTATTTCTTCCCTTATTGCCGTACTTCCATATTTCTCATTCAATAGTTTCTCAAAATAGTTCTTTCATCTTTTCTTAATCTCTTCATCCCTCACCAATACCTTAGAATCTTCACTCTTGATGTACTTAACTTGATTAAAATCCCTTGTTTTCCTCTCCCGTATCTTAGCAAGTTTGTATACTCTCTTCTCTCCCTCTTTACTATCTAATCTAGTGTATAGGTCATCATAAGCTTTCAACTTAGCATCTCTCACTACTTTCTTGCCCTCTTTATTAGCCAATCTATAACTCTGAAGGTTTTCCTTAGTTCTATCCTTTTGCCACTTTTTAAAGCACTCTTTTTTGCCTTAACTACCGCTTGAACCTCTTCCCTCCACCACCAAGTTTCCCTAGAGCTGGGTCCCGTTCCTTTCGCCCTCACCAATACCTTAGAATCTTCACTTTTGATGTACTTAACTTGATTAAAATCCCTTGTTTTCATCTCCCGTATCTTAGCAAGTTTGTATACTCTCTTCTCTCCCTCCTTACTATCTAGTCTAGTGTATAGGTCATCATGAGCTTTCAACTTAGCCTCTCTCACTATTTTCTTGACCTCCTTATTAGCCAATCTATAGCTCTGAAGGTTTTTCTTAATTCTATCCTTTTGCCACTTTTTAAAGCACTCTTTTTTTGCCTTAACTACCGCTTGAACCTTTTCCCTCCACCACCAAGTTTCCTTGGAGCTAGGTCCCATTCCTTTCGACTCTCCAAGCACTTCCCTTGAGATTCTCCTTATACAATTAGCCATCGAGTTCCACATAGTGTTAGCATCATCTTCCAAGTCCCAAGTGCCTTCCTTATCCATTCTATTCTTAAATATTTCTAATTTATCCCCTTTTAGGTCCCACCATCTTGTCTTACAACGCCCACCATCCTTCCTAGCTTGGTATTGCCTTCTAAAACATAAATCTAGTACCAAAATCCTATGTTAAGAAGTCAGGCTCTCTCCAGGAATCACTTTACAATCATTGCATTTCAGGCAGCCCACTTTTCTCACTAAGAAGTAATCTATTTGGCTCTTAACTGACCCACTCTTAAAAGTTAATAAATGTTCCTCCCACTTCTTATACATAGTATTGGCCACCACCAGATCAGAAGCCAATGCAAAATCTAAGATACTCTCTCCAACCTCATTTCTGTAACCAAAACCGTATTCACCATGCACCATTTCATAGCTTAGTTTATCTATGCCTACATGGCCTTTAAAATCTCTACTTATAACCAGGTTCTCTTCTACGAGTATTTCTTGTAAGATCTCATCCATTTGCTCCTAAAAATCCATCTTAGTCTGATCATCTGATCATCTAATCCTACTTGAGGGGCGTATGCACTAATAACGTTCATTATATTCCCTCCAATAACTAGTTTAACTAACATAATCCTATCTCCTTTTCTAATAGTCGCCACTACATTCTCCACAAGACCCTTGGCAATTAAGATTCCTAACCCATTCCTGCGTCTATCCTTACCACTATAATACAGTTTAAAACCGGTATCCTCAAATTTCCTAGCTTTCTCACCCGTCCACTTAGTTTCTTGTACGCAAGCTATACTAACTCTCCTCCTAATCATAACATCTACCAACTTTATTATCTTACTAGTTAAGGTTCCTATATTCCAAGTGGCTACCATAAACCTATTGTCTTGGACTAACTTTTTTACCCGCGTTCGTCCAGAAAAACGCGAAAATCTTTGCCAATTTTTCATCGCACCCAGGCGTCGATGCGGCGCTCCTTGCTCACACTAAGATCTTATTAAACTATCAATACAAAATAAATAACCATAAATATAAAATTACAAATAAATAAAATCTCCATATCACATTCCGCATCAATTGTTCCACAGTGCCTTTGGTGTCATGAGTTTGAAACATGGGAACAACACCTTTGAATGTAGGGGTAAAATTGCATACATATGACCCTCCCTAGATCTCACAACAGCGGGAGCCGCATGCACTGGGTTGTTTTTTTATTGAGGATCAAAGGAATTTATGTTCAAATTGTGATATGTCTAACTATTAACTTTGCCTACTTTTGAGCGTAAGAGAGGTTTGTTATTCTATACATGTTTGGTATAGGTAAGACATATTATTTTACTTAGAATGAATTAATGAATCCCATTGAATCAATTTTGAAGTTGTTTTGTTGGTTTGTTTGTCATTTTTTACTATTTTTATTATAGCTTCTCTTGCAAAATACAAGATTTATGGTTGATTTGGTTGCATTCTTATTTTGTCAAGTTCCATATGGATGGATTTGGATCGTGGTGTAGGGATTTGATTTGGATTTTCATTTAGATTGTGGCTTATGCAGGAAAAATTGGATATTTAGTTAGAGAGTGGAAAATTCATTATATAAATTGAAGAAAAACGCGAAATTTCCTAAAATACAAGGATCTGAAAATGAACTATACATTAATCTGCCAAATGCAATAGGGAAAAAAAAAAGGAAGGGGGGTGTTGGTTATAAGGAAAAGAAAAATAAACTACCTACAGATACCAATTGTCTAAAGATTTTATAAGATGGAATAATGCAGTAACAAAGTTTCGTGGCAAATTTTTAGAAACTTCTCAACCATTCTCTAAATCAAGTTTAATAATTGAACATACCAAACATCAAGAAAATGCTCGTTCTTGAAGATTTTAACCATGATGTTGTATACTCTTATGCAAAACCCGTTAAACTATGCAAAGAAAAATACCCAAATTGTAGTGGATCTCTTGCCATCAGCCTCTGTTTTTGTGAGAGATAGAAAGTGGGGGAGAGTGATGTTTCATGTGATTCAAATCTTCTGTGAGCTTGGAAAAGGGAGGAAGGAGAGAGATGATGTTAGCAGTGATTGCAAGGGATAGAGGCAATACAGATTGGGATGAGGGTACGATTTCCATTAGATATCCCAAATTGCATCTTATATGGAATAGTAATTTTGATAATTGTCAAGTAAGTAGGAATATCTGGTGAAATAATATTACTTATCAAGAAGAACAAAAAACTAATATTACTTATCAGCAATTACTCTAGCACACGCATGAGTAATCCTTCTTCCCAAACCCGCCCTTACCGTAGTTAAGCCCCCTCCCAAATTGTTTCTACTAGGGGTGGGTTGGGCTTATTACCCATTTAGATTGAATATTGGCATTGGCTTTTTTAGAAGCTAAAAAAGCTATTGTGTTCTATGTTACATGGACTCGGGTACGAGTGTCGGGTGCGGGTGTGTATCCAAGCGTCAGACCTTCATGAATTTTAATCTTAGGATCTTGGGGTATGTATCCAAAATTGGATATGGATACGGGGACACGTCATATGCACATATATATTGTATATTATATAATATTCTCGGATGAGATGATTTAAATTATGTAGAAATATATTAGAAATTAAATATGATTTAGAAAAAAATATGAAATTTCTATATCTAATTCATGTGGGAGCCTAAAAATATTGCTTTACTAACAAATGCAAGTTTCTTTTTCTTCATGTATTGTCACAAATTAAAGGATCTGGGTGTCTAAATTAGGTACGAGCGTCGGACACATATCCCACACCCTTATCCATGTCATATCCGGTGGACACGGGTATTGTGGGGGAAATAGAAGAGTCCATGTAACACAGATTGTGTTTGGGAAGTTGCTGAAAAATTAGAATTTTTTGTAAATGAAAAGGTTAGAGTTGCTTTCTATCTTTTTTATAGCTGGTAACAAGCAGATCTTTTGGTTTTTTGGCTTATTTCGCCAAAAAAGCAGCTGTTTTAGCTAAATCCCAAAAAAGTCTCTGGTGTTGGGGACAAAACCATCACTATTGGTGATGTAGACGTCCTTTTGTGAGAAAATGCTTCAACATTTTGAAGTCTACAATGGCCAACATTTTAACCACTACTTTGCTTAGTTAAATCTGTGTAGGATATGATGGTTCAAATTAACAAACTTGGAAGGCAGCCTGTGGAAATATATGTCTGTCAAGTTGCCCAGAATGATGAGTAAATCATCCTAGATGCTTTGGTTATAGAACTGCTTAAACAACCATAATAGTTCCCAAAAGTTCACAATTATTTAACACTATTCTCATGAAAATTAGTTAGAAATAAATCTTTTTCCTTTACTTTCTTTTTTTCTTTTCTTTCTTTCTTCTTCGATTTGTATTTTCTGTGTATGCAAAATTGATTCATTTGTTGATCATTTACTCCTATTTGTAGGAGATCCGTAGCGTATTAAGCTTTCTACTATTTTGGAAGAATTGTAGCTTTAAGTTATTAAGTTTATGTATATACTGCTTTTGTATTGTTTTTTTTTTCTTTTGATAAATATACTGCTTATGTATTGTTGGCTAGTGACATAGATAATTGATGTAGTGTATTGTTGCTTTCCATATAACAAATGAGCAATAATTAATACCGTGTACATTTCATACATCTGCATATATTTTGATACACAGTTAAACTTTTGATGATCTTAGATTAACCTATTTTTCAAAGTAGAATTGGGTTGAAATTTCCCTTTGTTTGTTTTGTGGGAATGCCAGTGCTTTTTATATATTGTTCATCCGTCAAACTTCCATGTATTGGTTGGAAACATTTGTGCTGAATACCATAGCATTGCCTATTTGTATTGTTCTTACAGAGCGCACTTACACTGCACCCCAAAAGTGGATGAGGGGCAAGGGTCGTGTGACTATTCAATTTGGTTGTTGCTATAATTATGCACCAGTAAGTCTCTCTATGTTTCCGAGTCACTTTATAGTGGAAGATACTTAAGTGACAGCTCTAGAATGAGAGAAGAAAATAAAAACAGATTGAGAAAAACTTACAAATTCGATATTCTGCTCGCAGGATAAAAATGGTAATCCACCTGGCATCCTTCCGAATGAAAATGTAGATCCTATACCTCATCTTTTTAAGGTGATCATTAGGAGGCTAGTCACATGGCATGTTCTTCCTCCATCTTGTGTGCCCGACAGTTGCATAGTCAACATTTACGAAGAAGGGGACTGCATACCTCCGCACATCGACAACCATGATTTTGTTCGACCCTTTTGCACTGTTTCATTTCTTAGCGAGTGTAATATATTATTTGGATCAAACTTGAAGATCGTGGGTGCTGGTGAGTTCAGTGGTTCTATTGCAATTCCCCTGCCTGTCGGGTGAGTACGTGGAGCCCATCAACTTCCGTGCATTCTCTCTTTACTTCCAGCTGCTGCATATATTTATTGGTGATTGAATATGCCTGCTTGGAAATTATAGAGTTCAATAATTATCTCTGTTAAATCAATTTTTTTTCTCTTTCAAATGGACTTATTATTTCCTTTTTCATGCAGATCTGTCCTTGTTTTAAATGGAAATGGTGCTGATGTGTCTAAGCATTGTGTGCCAGCAGTTCCTACTAAAAGGTACAGAGAAACTTTTTCTGATACTTACAGTCCATTTGGATGGAGTGATTTGGTGAGAAATGATTAGAAATGAAGAGAAAGAGAACTCTTATCTCATGTTTGGTTATAAGTTAAGTGAGAAATGGTGAGAGATAATGAGAGAGAGAGATAGAGATCTTATTTTATAGGTTTCATGAGAAACAAACTGATTGGTTGTATATTTTTCATAATACTGAGATTGCCCATTAAAATATTAAGGAGGGAAAAGAAATCTCACTTGTATCCCCATATCATGTACTCTGCTTTCTTACTCATCCAAACGTGATGAGAAAGCACAATAATTTCTTATCCTTTTTTGCCTAGATGAGAGATTGGAATCATTTCTTTTCTTTTCTTTTTCTTAATCCCGTGATCCAAATGGAGTTTTTTTTCATTCAGTCATGTTTGCTCATACTATATATGCCATTCTGTTTACCTAATCTGATTATTTTTGGTTTCTATTTTCCCTGTCCGATGTGCTCCTAGGATATCAATTACTTTCAGGAAAATGGATGAATCAAAATGGCCTATCGGATTTGTTCCTGAACCTGATTTGCAAGGACTTCAGCCATTGTCTTATGAAACCAACAGATCAAAAAGGCAGACTCCACTGAAACCAAAGCTTTCTATGAGCAGGCAGGTAGCCAGAAGAGAGGATAATAACAGAGACAAGGCAAGGGGATCAGCAGGGAGAGGAAACTACCATGTGGAGCCTCAAGTCTCTCTTCAGATTCAACGGGGACCTTCAAATAGGCGGAGAGTCAGTGTGAATTTGGACGGTTGATGGGTATGTGAGTGTTGATATTTAAACACAAGCTTGTTGGTCTGTTGTCTTCTGGACTGGTCATCAGAGGGCTTGGTAGTTGATAAAGTGGTCTTCTACTTGAGGGTTTGATATTGTGTTTCATTCGTTACGAGTGTCAAAAGCGCTAGTGCCTTTTTCTATTGCATTTATAAGGTTTTCCCAACTGCTATGTGAGTTTCATTCTACAAGCGAGAATTATTGATTAGTTTTTTATCGAGTTGGATGTGAATGATCATCGGTGCAAGTTGGAGCTTGGTGAGGCTTGCACTGTTTGATGGATATAGTCATGATTTCACATTGTGATGGGTTGGGAATGGATTGTAAGGCTAGGGACGCATGGCTAGATCTAGCCCTAGCCAACTGATTTATGGTTGGATCAACTAGTTTGAATGATTCATGTCATTGCTGTGATGTCAATAAATTGTTTGCTTGTATAAGCATTTTTTACCACTGCATAAAAATTGTACAATCACCAGTGTTCTTTCTTCTTCTTCTACTTCTTCTTCTTCTTCTCTGCTCAATGCCATTACTGGAGACTTTATAACTTGTAACATTTGCTTGACCACATTTTTTTTTGTTGCCAAATGTTTAGATCTTGTAATTTGGATTTGTTGATTGAGCATGAATAGCTTATTGTGGAGTCTTCATATTGAACTAGAGGCCTTGTCAATTTGAGAGTATGTATGTTGAAAAATGTATGAGATGTATGTATAAAAGAGTTGTATCTTCTGTGCAAGTATTTGTGATATTTTTTGTACATCGAGGAGGAGGGGAGTCGAACTAGTAATCCCTCATGTTTTGGCCACTAGGATAACATTTTTGTTTTTGTGAAAAAATAATGTGCCAAGTAACCCAATTGTATTATCATGTGAATTGTGAGTTCCCCTTTACCACTTGGATTAGAGTCAGCGACAGGTTAGGAATCTTGTTTAAACTTTTACCCTTTCGTATTCTCTCTCTTTTTACAAATTTTCCTCATTATAAAATTTCAATTTTCTTCATTATAAAATTTCAATTTTCTTCTCATCTCTACTCTCCCAAACTCTAACCTCACCCTAACTGCCACCTTTCTCTACCCATCCCTTGCTTTGTGCCTGCCCAACCCCAATCCCAATCCCTCTCCATCCATTCTCAACCTATCCTTAACCTACCATTCAGCCAAAGTTGCCACCAAGTGTTACCTTTTGCCATCTTTGGCTAGCCACTTTCCTATCGATCTCTTTCTCGTTCTTTCCTCGTTGATTTCTTTTAGTCAATCTCTCTCTTTCTTTCAACCGTTCTCTAGGTGAAGTCGGTGTGTAGGGAGTAGTGGGGTAGGAGTTGGGGTCACGAGTGAAGGAAAGGGGAGTTGGGAAGGGTCAGCGAGGTAGCAATTGGGGAGGTGAAAGTCTCTAAGGGAGAAAGGGGTTGGCAGTGGGGTCGGAGCAGAAGTGGAACTAGGTTTAGGGTTTTATACAATGAGGGTAGAATTGGAAGCAAAGTAGGGGGTCCAAATAAATAATAATAATAATAAATTTTAAAATTTTGAGGTGAGGGTTACAAAGAAAGAAGAGTCCAAAGAAATTTTGTTAGGGCAAATAGCAATAGTTTTGTCGAATAGAATGATATGAGTAGTGGTGTGCACGGGTTAGATTATGTTAATTTTGATAAATTGATAATTTTTCAATCAGCTATCAACTTAAGTTGTAACCCTCCACTCTTATAAGTGTATTTTTATATAGTGATAGAACTAATTCTAAATAAAACGTCTCATTTTGTTATCGTTTGTTTGGATTTTTATTTTTTTTTAACTATTTGTTATCATTTGTTTTAACTTAAAATTTTGCTTGCAGGTCAATTTTATGCACATCAACTGTCAATTTCAAACTATTAATTTGTCTTAGTAGACTAGTTCAAGTGTTGGAGCAGTTGCACTTGTAGTAGTTATTTATTTCGCAAAGCCAATATGTGATTGTATTGTAAATAATGTTTTGTGATGATCATAATGTTTAAAAAATCGTGATTTTAAATTGAATGCAACCGTATTTTAATAATTCGGTCCAATTTAATTACAAATTTTTCATAACTTAATTTGATTTCAAATTTCATAAAATAGTAAATAATAATTTGATTTTTTTCCTGTATAAACCAAAATTAGGGTTACAAATGAACATAATCGTTATTGAACAAACTTGAATTTGGTTTGATAAGGGCTCGTTCGAACTTGGTTCGTCAAATTTTTATTTTGTTGGGGTTCGAACTTGTTAAAATCTTAATAAACAAATTAAAACATATTAAACTTGATTCGTTAGCTCAGCTCTTAGCTGTTTGTTTAACATTTATTTAAATAATAGAATAAATATATTATTACATATTAAATAATGTAAAAATATGTATAAAAAATAGGATAAATATACTATTTGTATATTTAAATAATGTAAATAATAACTAAATTTATTTATACGTAAATAATAGCTAATTATAAATAATGCATTTAAATAATATTGGTGGTAGATATTATTATTTTAGTAAGATATTAACTTTTCTTTTACTATAATTGTACAATCAAAGTGTGAATTTATAATTTCTTATAACTCATTAAAGCTCATGAACATACTCGAATTTGGTTCTTTAAATTTTCATCAAGCTTAGGTTTGAACACATTAAAATCTTAATAAATAAATTTAAACATAAAAAAATTTGGCTCAACTCGACTTGACTCGTTTACAATTCTAATCGGAACTAATATGCTTATCCCTTACCTATTATTAAGAGTTGTCTGACATTGTTTTTTTGGGTAAATTACACTTTGCCCCTCTAAAGTTCCACTCATTTCTCACTTTGGCCGTTAGTTTGATTTTTTTCACTTTAACCTTGTATGTTTATAATCCTTCCCACTTTGACCCTTTAAGTTTGATTTTTCCCACTTTGGACTTTCATGTTTGTAATCCTTCCTACTTTGATCCTTCATGTTTGCAATCTTTCCACTTTACTCATAGACTAAGTTCCATAAAAAAAAGTAACAGAATTTGTCACATCATTAACACGTCAACTCTATATGTGATGTAAAAAATTACTAAAGATACAAAAAATAAAAAATAAAAAACAAAAAAATTGAATTTTTTTTTTTAGTCTTTAGTGAACTTTTTTCAAATTTATTCTTAAACATTATTACATTATAGATGCATCTAGATTATATGTAGCTAAAAAAATAAAAACAAAATTTAACTAAAAAAAGGAAAAAGTTCACTAAAAAGAAGAAAAAAAAACAATAGTAAAATTTTCATTTTAGAATTGACAATACAGGCGTTTGAGTCAGTATATTTTTATTTTTCTTTGCTTTTAGTAAACTTTTTTCTTTTTTTAGCTAAATTTATTTATTTATTTTTAGCTGTATCTAATATAGATGTATCTAAAATGTAATAATGTTTATGAATAAATTTTTAAAAAAAAGTCCACTAAAGACTAAAAAAATTTCAATTTCAATTTTTTTGTTTTTTACTTTTTATTTTTTATATCTTTAGTGAATTTTTTATATCACACATGAAACTGATGTGTTAGTGATATAGCAGATTCTGTTAATTTTTTTGGATGGAAGTTAGTTTAGGAATAAAGTGGGAAGAATTGTAAATATGAAGGGCCAAAGTGGGATGGATTGCAAAATGAAGGGTCAAAGTGAAAAAAATTAAACTTAAAAAGCCAAAGTTGGAAGGATTGCAAACATAAAGAGTCAAAGTGAGAAAAATTAAACTTAAAAGACCAAAATAAGAAGTTGGTGAAATTTTAAGGGGACAAAATGTAATTTGTCCTTGTTTTTTTTAGTTGATTTTTTCTTAATTTTTTTTTTCTAATTTTAAAAGAAGTTATACTTTTAAAATTTACTCGACTAGACTGAAAAAATAAAAAAGGTTTAGTAAAGGCCATAAAAGATGTAATATTTTATTTTTATATTAGAAGGATTAATTTTTTGACTAGACAAAAAAAAAAGTATAAAAATCTAAAAAAAATTATAGTGAAGGCCCAATTTTTTTTTATTTTTTTTTATTTTTATATTAGATGAATTAAATTTTTGACTAGACGAACAAAAAAATATATATATATATATATATAAATGTAAAAAAAAGGTTTAATAAAAGCCCAAAAAACAGTTGATTTTAATTTTTTTTTTTTATTGTAGACGGATTAAATTTTTTTTTTTTGGACACAAATTAAATTTTTTTTTTATTAAAGACAATTTTTTTTGAAGATTGTAGATATATATACCGTCAAAGTCCCAACTTTACCATTAGTTCTCCCAAGTCTCCCTCGTAGAGGCACTACTTCGGAGAGGGAAAGCAACCGTGCATTCGTAAGCTAACAGTTTCGTGTTTGGTTGATCACTGCTTCATTCTCTGTCCTCTTTCCCAAACCCTAGTTTACATATTCAAACTCACTCATCAATTTCCATACTCTTCTTCACCTCAATCACATCCCAGATATTCACTATACATAGTCTAGATTGTAAAGAAAAACCCTAGAAATCAAAAATCCCAGTTTAAATTCCTCCAATTTCACCCAGCAGTGAAGCTAGGGTTTCTGAATCTCCACCAGCCATGAGTCCCGTTCAGAATCTAGAGCAGCACTCTCGCCATCTCATCGAACCCGACCTCCGTATCTCTCTCTCTCTCTCTCTCTCTATATATATATATGTATATATATCTGAACCTGTTTGTGGATGAACTTAATGTTTGTTTGTTTTTTTTTGTGATTTGAAACAGCAATTCAGGTGAGGCTTCAGATGGCAATGGAGGTTCGGGACAGTTTGGAGGTTACGCATACGGGGGAGTACTTGAATTTCCTAAAATGCTACTTTCGGGCTTTCTCTGCGATTCTGTATCAAATTACAAAGCCGCAATTAGTTGACAACCCAGAGCACAAGCTCCGGAACATCGTTGTGGAGATTCTCAATCGTCTCCCTCACAGCGAAGTGCTTCGTCCTTTTGTTCAAGAACTCATCAAGGTCTCAATGCATGTCATCACTACTGATAATGAAGAAAATGGGTTAATTTGTATTCGAATAATATTCGATATCCTTCGGAACTTTAGACCATCGCTTGAAAACGAAGTTCAGCCCTTTCTTGATTTCGTATGTAAAATTTACCAGAATTTTAGATTAACTGTCAGCCATTTCTTTGACAATCCGGGTGCTGCGGCTTCTGCGGCAGCAGCAGCAGCTTCTGCATCGGCGACGACGAATTTGATGTCGGCTTCTACAGCGTCGACGTCGACATTTGGTTCAATGGGAGGAGAAGATGCTAAGCTTATGGATGTGTCGGACCAAGTAGGTCCTTCTAGTGTGTATGTTGGGGCTGGACAACTTAATCCCAGCATTCGGTCCTTCAAGATTATTACAGAGACTCCACTGGTGGTTATGTTTCTGTTTCAGTTGTATAGCAGGCTTGTCCAAACTAACATTCCTCATTTGTTGCCATTGATGGTTACGGCTATATCTGTTCCGGGTCCTGAAAAGGTTCCACCTCATTTAAAAAGCCAATTCATTGAGTTGAAGGGTGCACAAGTTAAGGTTAGTGTTTGCTTTTCTTCATGTAATTCTCCAATAATATTATCTGGAAGGCACCTCATATTTATTGATGTTAGGCCAAAATGCTACGACAAGTGATGGGTCTTTGACTTACTTA